CAGTCCTCTCCAGGGATCCCCAGCCTGGCTCTTTGAGTGGGTGCCTTGCAGCTCTGGAAGCTGAGGAGCATTCAGTGATTATGCTTCAGTGCTTCACATTGAAAACCAGGCCGTGGAATTAGAGCCTGGGTCCTTTTTTGGGGCCCCTTTCTGGTGCAGAGCAGCACAGGCTGGGTGCTGGGGCAGCTGTTGTCAGAACAGCAGCAGCAGTGGCTGCCATGCAGGCACACAAAGGCTGCCCTGGTGGAACTGGAATGGGCTCTTGGAGGTTCTTGCTGGACAATCTCTTGGGATTGTGTAGCACAGCGAAGGCCTTGCTGTGTCTCAGTAGCCTTGCACGGGGCCACAGGCAGGTGTGCTCGAGGTGGGGGTAAGCACAGCGTGACCATGGAATGGGGGTTCTTCCTCACATCTCCACATGCTTTGATCAGTCCTGGTCCAGCTCCTGCTGTTCCTTTCAGTCCCTGTGCAGGCTCAGGAACAGCTCCAGGGATAACACTCATCCTCGCAGCTTCCCGTGCTTCCCGCACCTCTGCTGTGCTTCACGGACTGCTGTCACATGGATCACACTCTTCCCTGGCTGTAAATTGAGTTGCTCTTGATTTTTGGCATTCTCTCTGCAGGAAGCCCAAGAAGGACAAGACAGCCAGTAAGCCTGTGCAGGACACGGAGCCGCTGAAGAGGAAGAAGAAAGGCTTCCTGCCAGAGACCAAGAAACGCAAGAATCGCAAGAAAGGCACCCAGGAGAACGGGGTAGCACTGGCTGGAGATGGAGAACCAGCAGCCCCAGAGGAGCAGCCCCTGGGAACAGAGACCCCCAAGCAGAAGAAAGGCAGCAAACACAAGAATCCCAACAAAGGGGTCAGGGAGAACGGAGTGGCAAAGGCGGGCGGTGGGACCCTCCCCGCTGTTAATGGAGGAGATGCTGTGGCTGAGAAGAAGAAGAAGAAGAGGAAAAACAAAAACAGAAAAAGAAAACAGGATGCAGGTGATGAAGCTGAGCAGGTTCCAGCTGCAAAGAAACCCAAGGGGAGTGTCCTCCAGGAGACCCAGCAGAAGCAGGGCAAAGCCAACCAGCAGAAGCAGGACAAAGTCAAGAAGAAAAGAAAAGAGAAAAAAACTGCAGTGCTGCAGGAGTAAACTCCATGGACTCACCCAGACCTGGCATGGCTAGCATGGCTCAGTAGACTGTTGTAATATCTTTTTTAACTATAGTTTTTATGCCCTCCATGACTTTTAAATAAACCTTCCACGATGCTAAAGCTCTAAAGCTGCGGGTCTGGCTTGTGTGGAGGGTTCAGCCCAGAGCACAGGGAGCTTCAGGAGGTTGTATATCCTGCAGGCTCCTGGAGATGCCCACTCTCTTCTCTGGCAGTGCCAAGCAGCCTGTCCCCTGTCTCCATGATTTCCAAAGGCAGAAGTGAGAGGCTGGTTTGGATTCCCTGGGGAGCTGGGTAGGTGTGCTGGCACTGCTGAGTCTTGTGGTCAAGCCGTGTGTCGGGTTCAGAAGCAGCTCCTAAAGGCTCATTCCTGTCCTGCCTGGGCCCCACAGCTTTTCCAGTCTGGGAGATGCAGCCTCTGAAATGTCTGGGCTTAAAGGGGTTTGCACAAGCAAACTCAGGGGTCAGATATTCCCAGTTTGGCCAGTCTGGTGTTGTCAGTAACTACCATGATCTGGTTTTCTTGCCTGTTTGCTCCTGGGTGCAGGAGGGGTCATGGCCCCTATGGTAGAGCAGGGACATCAATAAATCAGTGAAACAATTGAAATGGTTGATTGATTGGCCCCTCTGCCAGGCCAGCAGCCTGTGTGCAGCCATGCAGGGCACCTGGAACAGCAGGCTTACAACAAACAGTCTGGGAAGGTGGCTGCTTGGAATTGCATCTGCTTATTTATCCCCAGGCTCCTGACTGCTGGAATGCTGTCACCCCTTTGGAGAGCACCAGGAGCAAGTTCTCCCATGTGTTGGGTACCTGGTTCTTGTTGAGAGCTGAGCCTCAAAGTGTTTGAAACACTATTTATATTGTAGTTGCCTCCTCCCTCCCTTCCTTGTCCCCCCTGTTCCTGGAGGCCTGGCCCTGACTCCTCTCCCAGCATCTGAGGGAGCAGGGCTGGGTCAGTGGTTGGACTTGATGATCCCAAAACTCTTTCCCAACCTCAGTGATTCTGTGATTCTGTGAAGGCCCCAGTGCTCTCCTCCCTCCTGCAGAGGAGTTTGGTGCTGGCTCCTGGCAGAGGGAAGGGCCTGGAGCAGGGCTGTGCCTGCTGTGCCTTCAGCTCTCACCCCGCAGGTGGGTCTGTACCACCAGGCAGAGATAAGGGCACTGGAAATGTCATGTTGCTTTTGGAGGGAGTGAGAGAAGAGCTGCAAAGGGCTGTGTTTGCCTGTGGCTATTTATCTGCCTTTGCAATGATTCTCTTCTCAAATGGCAGGGGAGTCCCTGTGAGACAGCAGCTGGCAGGGACACGGCACTGCCCATTGCAGGCCACAGGTAGGTGCAGCTTCCCATTTCCCTGTCCCAGCAGAGATCCCACAGGCTCTGCTGCACATCCAAGGAGTGCACTGGCTCCTGTGGGCAGCAGGTGAGGGCTGGAGTTCTGTGCCCACTGGCTGGCAGGGTTCAGCAGAGAGTGTCCTTCCTGCCTCCACAGCCGGCTCCCTCCAGCTCTCGGGGGAGGCAGGACTGAGGAGCTCTGTGGTGTTGCCTGGGAGGATGCAGCTCCTGGGAGAGGAGGAACTGGCAGGCTCTGGACCCTGCAAGTCAAGCACTCTTTAGGTAGTGGCACAGATTGGGGCAGGAGGTGAAGGGCACCCTCACCCTGCTCACTGTTGGCCTCCAACCTCAGGAGGGTTCACAGAGGTCCCCAAACAGGATGGAGACTTGGGCTGCTGGGGTGTGACCAGGGCAGTGCAGACCAGACCCTCAGGAGGGTGCCTGGTCCCTGCATCTCTGTGGTGCTCCAACAGAGCACTTTAGGCCTGGACTCCTCCTGCTGAACCTTTTTTCCCAAACCACTTATTCCTCTGGAGGTGGCTGAAGGATCTTGACTGCAAGAGCTGCTGTTGCAGCCTGCAGAAGAGCTGCAGGTCTTTGTTCCCAGGCAGATGTTGGCAATTATTGCCAATCCTGTCTCCAGGAAAAAGACCCTCTGCTCCAAAGGGGCCTGTGGGCACTGGGGATGCTGCCCTGCCTCTGCCATTTACTGTTGAGAGCTGGTTCATTGCCTGGTTAAAACCTCAATCCCGGCTCAGCCCCTCCAGCTGTCCCCAGAGTTTCCCTGTGTTGTGCAAATGAAGTGCACAGGAGGCTGCAGGTCAGGGCTGCCTCTGTTCAGTGATCGAGAGGAGAGCAGGGGGCTCAGATCTGAACACTCTCACTGATTATCCCTTTCCTTCTCTGTGCCTCTAAGTAGGACATCCCTGGACTTTGTGCCACTGCTGTGCAGAACTAGAGGAGGAACAGCAGGCAGGGGTGGGGGTGGGAAGCAGGGGAGGGAGCTGGATGAGGGGGCTCTCTCCAGGCAGCTCAGGGAAAGAACCTTCACCTGCTTCCAGAGAGCACGTGTGTGGCACCCAGAGCCACCCCACTCCTGCTGTGGCCACTGCTCTGGGCAGGTCCTGAGTGAGCTGAGGCCACCGAGCTGGGCTGAGCTGCTCTGGGATACCTGCCAGGGTCACTGCGGTGAAGAGTTCATGTGGATCAGCTCATCACTCGTTCTGGGAAGGGCAAAGCACAAGGTTAAAGCAGTGCCAGCTGTTGTTTGTGACAGAGGGGTGGCAGCTGGGCAGTGCCAGATGTCAGTGGCTGAGCTGGAGAGGTGAGTGACCTCTGCCTCGCCGTGGCCATGGGGTGCTCAGTCTCCAGTGCCCGTGGAACAGGCAAGGGGAGAGGGGACAGGAGAGCTGCAGGGCACGGTGAGAGTCCTGCTTCACTAACAACTCTCTTGCCAATTAAATTACCTGGCTGCAGGCTGGCTTTGTTGCACAGCTTAGAGAAAGCAGTCACTAATCCACTGAGTCAAATCCTGTTGCACCAGCACTTATTTGTGCCTTTTAACAATCACAAAGGTTTCATTTTACTTGATTTCATGTCCTGTCTGTCGCTCGACCTTCAGGACTTCAGGGGACAGGGCATGCTTTGATTTTAATGAAGCCTTTTCAGCTGTCCAGAGCTCTTTGGCAGTGAGAAGAGCTCGAGGGTTCTTCTGGATGCAAGAAAATAGCCACAGGCCCTGGGCAGTGAGCTCCAGGGAGGGATTTGGACTCCTGAGAGGGTGGGGAGGCCCTGGCACAGGTTGCCCAGAGAAGCTGTGGCTGCCCCATCCCTGGGAGTGTCCAAGGCCAGGCTGGACAGGGTTTGCAGCAACCTGGGCTAGTGGAAGGTGTCCCTGCCTGTGGCAGGGGATGGAATGGGATGAGCTTTAAGGTCCCTCCAGCCCATTCTGTGAGTCTGTGATTTTTTAAGTAGTGTCCTATGTGTCACACAGAGATCTTGCCAGGGACAGTGGGAGATGGGTGCAGTGTTGGGGTTGCTCAGGAGAGGTTGCCATGCAGTCAACCCCTCTGCTACAACCATGGTAAAGGCACCAGAGACAGCAGGACACAACAGTGCCAGCTTGGGCTCCATGAGGTGCTGCACAGCAGGTTTTGGAGAGGGTCAGGGTGCTCACCCTGTGCCAGCCCACGAGGCTGTTGTTTGTCAGAGCTTGAGTGGCCTTGGTGGCTCTACAGAGCCAGGGTTCATGAAGGGGAGGGGGTGTGGGTGCACACACATGGGTATGTCCATGACCCAAACCCAGCTAAAGCTGCTGAGCCTCAGAGCCCATCTGCTGGAACATCAGAATTTATAAAATTATGCTTAATCAAGTCACTGACACAGAATGATTGAGCTGAAAGCCCTGAGATGGTGCTGCCAAAAGGGGTGGTGGTTTCAGTGACAGGTCCTTTGCTTTAGGGGTGTCCTGGCCTGGACACTTGCCCTGTGCTGAAGGAAAAGGACACTGGAGAGGGGGTGCTGTGTGGTGCAGCCTTGTCCCAGGGATCAACCCAGCAACCACAGCCAAGAGGTGACACAAGAAAAGGAGCCAGGAGGTACATTTTAAATACTTTTATTTCTTAATTTACATAAAGGTATATATTTGGCTTATTTATCTTTTTTTTTTTATACTCTGAGATTCACAATCAATTGCTCTTAAAAAATAAAATAGTCATTTGCTTCTGAAAGAAATCAGAAAACTATTTTATACTCCTCCCTTGTATAACAAGAAAAATATACTAATACTCCCATACATCACATAGTAAAAGTGATTGTAAGTGCTGGTTTACCAAACAATAAAGCAAATGGGGAAGAAAACAAGCAGCTGGGACGGAGGGTGCTGAGAGAACTCTGCTTCCCAGAGCACAGCCAGTCATTTGGGGGGTTTAGTCTCACCCTGAGGGTCTCCCTTGGCCAGTCTGAAAGGGGAGAGGCTCCTGGGGCCACCCAGACCTGCCCTGGGAGCCATGGCAGCTGGAGCCACTTGGGTTGGCACTTTGCTGCCTTTTGGGTTATTTTCTTGCCTCTCTGGGCAGTTCCTGCTGCCTCAGTTCCCCTCCCTGTGTACAAACCATTGCTTGGGCAGTGGTGCCAGTGCAGGATCAGCTGGGAGGGGGCAGTTAATGCTTTAGAAAATCCCCTTTACAAAGTGGGGGAGAAGAAAACCCTCGTGGTTCACTGAGGGCAGCCTGGAGCCTCCCTGGTGCCCTCTGGGCACTGCACAGACCCTGGTGAGTGAACACAGCAAGGACCTGACACTGTGGGTCCCACAGACCGTGGGGAACTGGGAGGAGCCCGAGCCTCCCTCTCCTAGCCTGGAACATGTGGGAGCAGGGATTCAGGGATCCCTTGGTGCAGGTAAGACTCATTTCTCACTCCCTTGCTTGCTCCCTTCCCTCTCATTCAACAGAGCCCACAGCATTTCCTTCAGAAGATAAAACCAGCCCCTGACAGCACCGAGCTCTGACAGGGACCAGGGCCTGGCACAAGGACACTACAAACCACTTCAGTTCCCTTGTCATGGCTGACTCCAGAGAATTAAGTTTAAGGAGAATTCCTAATCTCTGAACCTTAACAGGAATGTTTCATTTTGTTGACAGTAAATGCTACAACAGAGGGAGCCTATTGGAAAAGCAATTTCGGAAATGTGGTTAATCTTCTTTGGTCTCTGAGATGAAATGACTGATTGTTAGGTTGCTTTTTGTTTCTTTTTAAACAGCTTAACAAGGAATTTCTTAACAGGAATCAGAAATTCATGTGCCTTTAAAGCCAAGAGTTTGGCTCCCACACTGCAGAGGCCGTGTTTCCCCTACCAATGTAAACAGTGGCACGAGGTGGGAAGTGAAGCATTGTTTGGGATTTGCTTTGCTTTGTTATTTCTAGCACCCACTTGCCGCTCTCCAGAGGATGCCCAGGCACTCGAGGAACAGTTCTGGCTCTGGTTCTTTAGCTAGATCTTAGAGCTGTTGTTAAGGTATTTTAGGTGACAGAGCCTTTGCAGAGGAGTCCTGTGGGGTCTGAGGAGGGGGAAAGGCTCACGAGGTGACAGGAGCCACCTCTGGAACCTGCCTGGGCAGGGACTGGCTGTGGGGTGAGCACCTGGAATCACAACCATCCCATCCCCACTGCAAGGCTCTGCTGTAGGTCCCAGCACATCCTGGAAGGGAATGGGAGGTACACCCAGATTTACCAACAGGACCTTCCTGTGTCTCTGGGCAACTTTGCGGCACAGCCAGAACAGCAGCTTCCAGTCTTACCCCGCATCCAGTCCCAGTCTGGCATTTCCTGAGCTGATTTAGTCCTGCTTGGAGCCCAACTGCAGCCCCTGGTGAGCCACAAGCACAGGAGGGGCCTTCCCCTGCTCGAGGTGTGAGCTGAGGGGGATCTGACCTGCGGGACAGGGGTGAGCAGGGACAGGGGTGGGGAGCTCATGGAGCCCCATGTGAGGCAGCCTGGCTGGGCAGGGCCTGTGCTCTCTGTGCTCTCCTTCCTCCCCCACGCTGCTGCAGCACCCACCTGGCACTGCATCACTTTGGCTCCTGGAGGCCAAGTGCAGGGAACAAGGAAACAAAACCCCAGTGAAGTGGCCCCATGACACGTCCCTGCAGTTGAGACTCGCCCACTTCAGACACTGGCCTTGTCTGAAAGGTCTCAAATGCACCTTTCTGAAGGTACAGGTGACACCCCAGGGAGAGCACTTGGACTGGGCAGGGTTGGGTGTGCAGGAGCCCAAACGCTGCTCCCAGGAAACAGAGTATCAGCCACTGCTTTGGAACACTGACAGGGAGAATTAGCATCGACAGTCCGTGTGATATGGCATCATGTAAACAAAGCACGAGGTCACTGGCACAGCAGTATTGCACTCCCAGGCCCAAGGTTCAGCGATTCAGCCAGGTGGATTTTGGTATTTTAAAAGCCTGTGAACCTCCCAGGCGAGGCTGAATTTGAAAACTCCAGAGCCCGTAGGGATTTCTGTCCAACGTACTGGGCCTTTCTGTGACAACCACCAGCATTCCCAGTGCAGTGAGACTCTCTCTCCTCTGCCCGTTGCTCAGCCTCAGGTGACAGGGAGGTCACCCACTGGAACTCTTGCAGGGCACTGAGCCAAGGAGAGCTGTGGACGTTACTCATGTCTGCTGTGGTTGCACAGGCAGCTCCAGGTTTTAAACGTTTAAATAAAAACTGTCTATCTAAATATATATATATATATATATCTCATCTAATGTCTTCAGCAGAGATAAAGCATCTTATGACATATTTAAATAAAAAATAATAATCTGAGTTGAGCCTTCAGTGTCAAAGCAAAGGTGATGTACAGAACAGGTCCCCAGCTAGTGCAGTTGGTGGGTGTGGGAGTGCTGGCAGAGCAGCAGCATTCCATAGGACACCAGTCCTACAAACCATGTGGACTTCATTGGCTACAACTAGAACCATGTACACAATCTACAGTCACTCACTTGGGCAGCACATTTTGGGTCCAGGGGCCAGTTGCTGATGCTCAAAGGAACAGATGTCCTTGTGCTGCAGCAGGTCCCGTGTTCCCACTGCCCTGCTCCATCTCCTGGTGCCTGACCCCGCAGGCTGGAGTGGGGGGATGGATTTGGTGCTGGAGAACCCCTCAGGGTGGTGTGGAGCTGGAGGATCCACTGGTATCCAGCATGGAAGGGCTTCGAGCTTGAGATTGGTGTGGTGGGAGCAGAGTCCACGTGTCCTTTCCTTCGGTGGCACCTGGGAACAGGGAAGGGAAGGGGGTTTATGGGGAGGTCACAGGGATGGATTGGTAAAGGTGTATCCCAGCTTTGGGGCAGGGCCAGCTCCGAGACCCTTTGTCTCTGTGCAAGGGGGGCCAACAAAGCCTGCCCAGGGTGGAGGCAGCACTTTGGGATGTGCTGTAGCTGTTTGGAATGGGAAACAAATGCCCTGTGATCCAGGCACAGCCTCCTCCAGGAGGTGACCAGCAGCAGGTGTAGCTCCTGTCTGCAGTATTTTGGGGCATCAGCCATGTCCTGTTTGCCAGGTGTGCCAGTACAACTGTTCCTGATGAAGCAGCTCAGCAGATTACAGGGATATTTTTGCTAGGTTGTTTTTAAGCCCCTCAGTTTATTAAAGAAAAGAGGGACTGCCTCGTGCCTTAAATTGTCATTTTCCAACCTGCTGTCCCTTGGAGGGCCCAGCAGCACAGCCCAGCTCTGGCTGCTGCCAGGGCAGAGCAGGCTCTGCTGGTGGCCCAGGTTGGCTTTCAGGAGCCACTCATGCACTCTGGGGCCTCTCCAGCAGCTTTCCAAGGTAACAGGGCAGGGATAACCAGTTCTCTCACTACAGGATTTCCTGTCAGAGGGTCTGTGCACCATGTTATGAAATAAAATCAGTGACTGCTCAGTTACAGAACAATTCCTTATGACAGTGGCTTGATTTATCTCAACGTGCACAAAACTAGACCAAAAAAGAAGAAAGTGCAGTGAAAAGCCTTGCTGTGCCCAGGACCCAAGTGGTCACTTTTATAAGGCAAGTCTCAGCAACACCATCTTGTATTTCCTCCCAGATTTGTTGAGCGTTTTGTTTTCTAAAGAAACCCAAAACAAACATAAAAAACCAACCCCCAAACTTTTATCTCAGAGCTACTGATAAATAATAATGTGTGAGCACACATCCAGCCCAGAGCCTGCAAGCTCCTGGCAGCCCTATCCCAGAATCCACTGCCCTCTGTGGAAATAACACATCTGCTGTGCTAGAGATTGTCTGAAATATTTTCCCTCAAAAGGCCATTCTTAAGTGTCTTACTGAGTTCTGATTTTCTGATTAGTCCTTCAGTGCATTTAATTTATGGGGAAAGAAACCTCCTCTTCAAAAAGTTGCTTTAATTAATTCTGGCTCCAGTGAAGTGCTGGGAAGTGTTTATGACTCGTGGCTGTGGGGGAGTGATAAGGACAACATGGACATGAGGGAGAAGGGAGGGCAGCAGGAAGGGGATGGTCCCCCTGGCTCAGAGTTGTCACCCTGGATCGAGGGTGGCAGTGGGGACAGTCCAGCAACAACATGAAAGATCAGGTGCTGCCAGAAAACAAAGGTTTGGGAGAAGTTAAGAATGGTGGTTTGAGGGCAGCTGGTGCTGGACCCAGGGCAGGGCAGCAGGAGGTTTGTGAACACCAGGGATGTTCTCAGTTCTGGCTGGGACAGTCACACCTGCTGCTGGTCAGGGGGACAGGGGTTACCTGGTCTCACCTGCTCAAAGAAGGGAGCACCAGGTTCTGGAAGCAGCTCGATACCACAAAGGACATTTGAGGTGACCCCTGGGTTCCCCATTCTTATTTCCTCTGGTTTGAAGGGAGTAAAGGTGCAGACCAGGGCTGGCTAAGGAAACTTCTCTCCAATAATGAGGAAAGGAATGGGTGGGCAGGGGGCTTGGGGCACAGCAGCAGCTTGAAACCTACTGCTGGTTTGGGTCACTCACCGTCTCAGACTTTCACAGAGGCTGGTGGCATCACAAGTTGGTTCACCCTGGTGAAGGGAAAACAAAAGTGTCCTGTGAGAGCTGCAATCAGCAAAGAAACAGGTGCCCAATAACCTGGGGGATCCAGGTTTCGGTTGCTTAACAGTGTCTAAAGGAGTGGGACATGAACAACTGTCCTGCACAATGGTATAAAGCTGAAACCCTGTCACACAGGGCTGTCTGACAGCAGTCCTGGCAGGTGCTGGAACATGCCAAGTTAACACTGCTGACACTAATTGACAAGGATTTGGGAAGGTCCCAAAGGCATCCAGACGTAGCAATTGTTTCCCCGAACCAGAATAAGAGTGTTTGTGCAGTGGCTGGTGCTGTCCTTCAGCCTGTCAGCACAAATGTAAACAGTCACCACTGATAAAAATTAAATTAAATTAGGAGAAAAGGAGCTGTCTCTCAGTTTTTAGCTCCTGAAGACCTGCTGCTGTTCTGGACATCAGCTCCCGGGTGATGGACGGCGCCCGGCGGGGACTGTGGTGTCACCCCAGGGACAGCTCCTGACTGCTCTGTGGGACCCAGGCACAGCAGCAATAGTCCTGCAAAGTCCATCCCTTGGACCTGCTCCTTCTCCTTGCAGTACAGGCCCTGGAAAGTCCAGCCTTCCTCTGCAGCAAACACCTCCCCTCCCCACGCTGCTCGTCCCTCCCCGGGCGGTAACTCAGGGACAGCAGCCCTTTGGTGAACACAGAGGGCCCTGGTGGGGCTGTGACACAGACATGTCACCCTCGGACTCCGAGGCCTTTGGGACCTGCTCTCTGTCTGGGATGCTCACTGACCTCACTGGGAACACCTGGATTCTGACAACAGCACTGGAAAACCCCACCTTGCTCATGGACCTGCCTCGCCTTTGACCGTCCAAGGGCTTGACCCAAAGGCTCCCCTTGGGCAAAAGGAGCATAAATCTGAGGCACAAAGGGAGAGTCTTCTCCTGACATTTGGCTCTGCCAAGTTGAAACAGGAACCAAACCGAGCCAGCAGTGTGTTAGAGCTTTGCTGTCACGTGCAAAAGCAGCTTCTCTCTCAATCAGTGAAATACTTGGGCAGGTGGACAGGGAACATGACAGAGACCAACACTGCCTGAGGCCCTGCCAGGATAAAAATTAACCAGTGCTCAGGGCACACCTTCCAAGAAATCTCTGCATCAGGGATTGGCCCAGCTCAGCCCACAGCTCCCAACTCCACACCAACCCCACAGGAAATTTGTCTCCAAGGTCCACAGAAGCCTCTGTGCCTTCTCTGCCTTTCCAGGCCATAAACTGAAATATTTCTGATGGAAGAGCTGACTCAAGTTCCTTTGTACAATCACCATTCCTGGTAACCCCACTGCACTGGAAAATCACATTGCATTGAACATTGTAACTGTGCTTTGGTAGCAGAATTCATCAGAGACAAAACACATTACCTGAGAATGCTACAGCCAACTTCAGAAGTAGGAAGCAAGCTATGGTGTGTCATGAAACTGTCACAGAATACTAAAACTCCAGAGGTCTGAATGTGCCAGAATGTTTGGAAGTCATGTCCCTTAGCATGTCATTCCACATTCTTACAGGCTACAGAATATACACAGAAAAAGTTAGTTTTGCCATGATTTTGGCACAGAGAACCCACCTGCACTGCTGATGGGTGAACCAGAAATACACACAACTTCCCTGCTTTTATTACTTATAGTTCAGCCTCCTATGGGATAAAATGTACCTCCCTTTTATTTTAACACATTTCTCTCGAGTTCTGCTTTATCTCTGTCTCACAGATGGGAACAGAGGCCTGGAGGGGCTAATCCTGAAATGCATTTGGAAGATTTCACGGGAAATTGGACCCCACACGCCTGGAGAACCTGCTGGGAAGAGAAATGACTTTGAGGGATCACACAGGAAGCTGGTGGGTAGAAGGGAGAACTGAAACAGTCCCCAGGTTTTGGTCAGTGCTGTCCCCATCCCCTGCGAGGGCCGAGCTGCTCCTGGCTCAGGCACAGCCGGTCCCAGCAGGGCCGGTGGGGATTTTGTTTATTTTCTTAAAGCAAACCCACCAATAATAAACTTTAAACTCTCTTAGGTGGCAAAATGTAGTACATGGGCTTAAACTAACAAGGCTCAAGAGCATCTAAATCCCTGATTAAGCTCCACTTGTCTTTCTAATCAAGATAATCCCCCACTGAATGGACCCACTTCCAACCAGTGAGATCTCACCGAGCACTGGCTACTGAATTGTTCTGTTTTCTCTACAGTGTTTTCTTAAGATTGTGATTGTTTTCATTCCTTGAAGAGAGCAGGGTGGGAACCAGTCTGTTGTTTCCTGAGGGGGAGGAAACTCACCCAAATTGCCTTTCAAGAACAGAAGCTGCACAACTTTTCTTGGTGGTGTTTTTTTTATGGGCTCCTCCAGCCCATAAAAATGTGGCTGATTCCCTCTAACCCTCATCACTTCCTCTCCTGTCAAACCTAAATATTTCTCCTAGATCCTATCAAACCATTTCCATGTAGTGTGACAGCACCTATAATTCTGAAGTATTTATAAGCCTGTCTGTTTAATATTAAACTACATGCTCCAGAGCTGTTAAATATTTATGCTATGTAAAATGGATCTAATTCCACAGCACCTCGGCCGGTCAGAGACCTGCAGGAGGAAAAGACAGCAAATTTAAGATAACAGATGAGTGGCCAGGATTTTTTACAGGTCAGCTCTGCTCTATTTCAGGATCTGGGCAGGATTATTCTCAGAATGCTCTGTCCCTTTCAGCCAACAGCTGATGGAGGTTCCAGCACTGCTGGGCAGCCCCCAGGGACTTCAAAGAGCTTTTGTGGCCACATCCAGTGCAAGAATGTTCTGCTCCAGCTGGGCCAGCAAGGGGGAACCCCAGATCTCCCTTCTCACCTGCAGCTCCACCTGCCCCAGCAGGTCAGGGGGAAGCTGTGGGGAGCAGCAGTGGGATGTGGAGTCTGAGACCCAGGAATGTGTCACCTCTGTCCATGAGCTCCAACCCCAGCCAGGAACAGGTCAGGAAGGAGGACACACCCCAGTGTGTGCAGCACCACCATGCCCAGGGCTCCAGGAGAAAGGCTGTGCTTCCAGAGAGCTGTTGGGAATGTTGCCAGCCCAGTGAAAAAGTCACGTTTCACACCCCAGTTAAACACCACCTGTATTTCAGCATCCTGCAGCTTTCCCAGAGCCTGCTTTTCCTGCTATCTAAACAAGCCAGGCTCTGGATTTTGTAACTGAGAAACATATTAGGAAATAATGTCCTGATTTTTACAGCCTGCTGTACTTAACATCACTTAACTTTTACGGCTGGCTGTAAAATGCTTTGGTGGGGTCCTTCTGGCCTGAAAAGAACTCATTTTTTGAGTTACTGAGCAGGAGTTTTTGAGTATTGACTTTCTGAGCAGGGGCTCGTTCAGCAGACAGGGCTACCTACAGGGGCAGCTGGACCACTGGACTCAGCAATTCCTGCCTGTGATTAAGGATCCCTCTTTGTTTCACTGGAGAGAATTCTGTGTTTCTGATGTGTTGTGCAAACATCAAATGCCTGTTAGAAGCAGCACCTTAGGAAGGGATTCAGGTGGACCAGCCTCCAGCAGATTCCTCCCTGTCTGAACTTCCTCAGATGTTTCTGGGGGGCTAAACCTCTCCAAAAGGCCCTGTGAACACACTGAAACCTGAAATTTTAGGTAATCAAATGTTTACTCAGACTGACAACCCTGAAAGGTAACGAGGCTTTATGGCCTTAACCTATGAAAAACAGATTTCCTTTTCAAATACAGGGAGTTCAAGGCGGGGGGTTTTTTTTTGGCATTAAGGAATGAGGGGCAATGCCCCCTCCACCTGTGCCCAGGGATGATGAGCAGCCCAGCCAGGTGCAGTTCTGTGCAACTCCAGCTGCTGAAACAGCAGCATTCCCATCCAATGTTGGTATCTGAGCCTGTGCTGGGAGAACAGAGGCCAAGGAGAATCATTGGCACCTCCACACCTGTCTGACTTGCAGCTGTAAGAGGGAATTTTATCTGCTGATAAATGAACCCAGGAAGGTACTTGCACAGGAGGGCACTGCTGCTGTTGTCACTGTAATTCCTGCAGGCAACCAACCAAATAGTCGTGGAGCAGGAGAGCTGGGAGAGCTCCAGGAGGGGTTTCTTGATCTTCACATGCACACAGACTCCACCAGGGAAGTTAAGATCCCAGGGCAGGAGTGATGCTGTCAATGTGCCCTCCCTGACATGAGAGCACAAGGGCAGCTGCAGCTGAAGGAGCAGAGACCACTCGGGCAGAGGAGCATAAAGTGAATTTAGGCACCGCACCAGACCCCCCTCTGAATTCCAGCTGTGGTTGGGACAGGGGGAAGTGTCAGGAGGTGTTTGTTTTATCCATTGCCTTGTTACTGCAGAGATCAATCGCCCTGAATAAACCCTGGCTGAAGCCAATTGCCAAAACACACACACGTTTCAGTGCACAAAGGAGAGAAGTGGAGCCGAGCTTAACAGCCCATCCCACTCCTATTTTCCATCAGTCAACACCCTCATCAACACAGTCAGCTTCGGGGGGATAGAACGCTCATTGCAGTGACCTGCCAGCAATAAATAGGTAACTCAGGACCAGGAAACACCGTAAGAACACATTATCACACCCCTCAGACATTATCACACCTCTCTCGTACTTTCCACAGACCCTCCTGCTTTATCTCACTATGGAGAGATTTAGAACTGCATTTCACTGGGATTTTTCCACATTTCCCTTGAAGTCTTTGAATCAGTCAAACTCCACTAAACGCTCCGAGTTTCACCCAGTCCTGCCCAGTGCCAACAGGGGAACACTGTGGGGCTGTGCTGGTGCAGAGATTTGTGCCCCTGAAACAAAGTCCATGGCTCTTCTCCCTTCCCTCCCTGCAGGAACCTGCAGAGATCTCTCAGCTGGGCTCTGTCACGCTCCTGATGCCACACGCTGCTCCCAGCCCTGCACCACCTTTGCACCAGACACTTCACAGAGAGCAAACCCAGCAGGCTGG